TGATTAAGAAAGGAACCTTACAGATATGACAGTCACATAGCAGACCAAAAAAAAAAAAATTCTTTCAGAATATAAATATACTTTATATATATATACCCACTTTCCATTATTAAATATTCAATTTGCATACCCAAATCGAATGTCTTTTAGATGATAGATATTATTACATGGGTCGATTTCGAGTGTAGATTCGTTCTTTTATGCAAATGCTAACTGAATATAATATTCTTCTATTATTTTGTATTCCACTTGTTAACTATTACGTATATAATCACTTAATAGTTGACAAAAAAATCTTTATATCATCTAATATATTTTGTAGTTTTTTTATTATTATTATTTTATGAACTGTTCGAGTGTTATTTGAACAATATGTCACTTCTAGAATATGGGGCATATGGCCAATTGATGTAGCATATGTAATCAATTGGGCACTGGGAGTTTTATACGGTTCAGAAAAAATGGACTAATTATTAATTAATTCGATTATTTGAAAGATATAATTTATGGAATTCATTGAATTGTTAAAATTTTCTCTCCCCGAATTTGAAATCGCCGACCCTCGCCTTCTTCTTTGTCTTCTATAGTGCGCCTCCTTCAAGCCGGCGTACCATCAACTCGCGGGGATGACCGGCTCGAGCGTGGCCTCTGCCTTTCTCATTTCTGTTGAGTTCGCCTCTTCCGGTGCAACTCTTTGCCTTAGATTGGGCTACTGTATTGGTGCTTTTGGGCGAGTTCGCAAAGGTGAGGGTGGGGGCGGCAGGTCCAGTCCGTCAGGCCTTCGGTAGGCAAGATTGAGGCCGACGTCGGCTCCTCCCCCTATTTTGCACGTCTAGGGGTTTGAGATGGGGCTTTCCTTCCACTTGGAGCCTTTCGGCTGGGTTCGAGGGCTTTAGCCGGGGCTAGTGTGGGCCTCCTAGGCAAGGACGGGGCATTAAGGGACGAGTGTGGGCCTGGGCCCACACTGAAATTTTCAAATATTGCTTAGGTTTATATATAAATTAATTAATGAATAATTTAATTTGCATTATGTAGTTGTATTTGGGAAGATATAATTGTACCTCTCTCTTCAAATTATAAAATGACTTATAGATTGAGGCCGACGTCGGCTCCTCCCCCTATTTTGCACGTCTAGGGGTTTGAGATGGGGCTTTCCTTCCACTTGGAGCCTTTCGGCTGGGTTCGAGGGCTTTAGCCGGCGCTGGTGTGGGCCTCCTAGGCAAGGACGGAGCATTAAGGGACGAGTGTGGGCCTGGGCCCACACTGAAATTTTCAAATATTGCTTAGGTTTATATATAAATTAATTAATGAATAATTTAATTTGCATTATGTAGTTGTATTTGGGAAGATATAATTGTACCTCTCTCTTCAAATCATAAAATGACTTATAGCATTTTGTTTATCTATCATTAATTATTTTTTATTTATTTTTATTTTTAGGCATCAACACTTTTTGTTCGTATGTTGCTTAAATTTGAACTTATTATATAATTATTATTTATTTAATATGACTTAAGTAAGAAGAATCAAAATTTTTAGTTAATTAATATTTCACATAAACATACAAGTTTTCATGAAAATAACTTTAAATTATATTTATGATTAATAGTTAATCTACTTTTTTAAAAACTTAAAAGAAAATAAAAGAAGAAACATCGGTTGGATATATGACTTTTTTTTTCCTTTTCATTCTCAAGATTTATCATGTAGGAACTAAGAAAGCAACAAAA